CCAACGACGAGAAAATCAATTCGGTCGTGCAGTTCGCTGGACGTTTGGTCGATGAGGGACACTTTGCGGCTGATAAGGTGAAGAAGAAGGCCGAGAACATCAACGAGCGTCGGCGGATCAATCGCGAGAAGGCCAATCTACTTATGGAGAAACTCAAGGACCAGCTTCAATTGCAGATGTTCCTGCAAGATTGCGAGGAACTCGGCGAATGGGTGCAGGAGAAACATATCACTGCTCAGGACGAGACATACAGAAGCGCAAAGACCATTCACAGCAAATGGACGCGTCACCAGGCGTTCGAAGCAGAAATCGCCAGCAACAAAGACCGCCTGCAGCAGTTGCAGCAAGCCGCGGACGAGTTGATTCAACAAAAACCGGATCTGGCCGAAATTATCAAACCGAAGGTAGCCGAATTGGCGGAACAATTCGTCGATCTGGAGACCACGACTCACGATAAGGGCGAGCGATTGTTCGACTCGAACCGCGAGGTTTTGATACACCAGACTTGTGACGACATTGATTCCTGGATGAACGAATTAGAGAAGCAGATAGAGAGCACCGATACCGGTTCCGATCTGGCATCCGTGAACATACTGATGCAGAAGCAACAGATGATCGAGACTCAAATGGCGGTGAAAGCGAAACAAGTTACCGAGCTGGACAAACAGGCGGAACATTTGCAACGCACAGTACCCGATGATAAAATGGAGGAGATCAAGTTCAAGAAGGAGAAAGTCGCTCAGAGATTCGCTCAGCTCAAGGCACCGCTCATCGATCGTCAACGGCATCTTGAGAAGAAGAAGGAGGCCTTCCAATTCCGACGCGACGTCGAAGATGAGAAACTGTGGATCGCGGAGAAGATGCCGCAGGCAACTAGCAACGAGTATGGAACTTCGCTATTTAACGTTCACATGTTGAAGAAGAAGAATCAGTCGTTGCGCACGGAAATTGAGAATCACGAGCCAAGGATCAACTTAGTGTGTAATAACGGGCAAAAGTTGATTGACGAGGGACACGAGGACAGTCCCGAGTTCCGGAAATTGATATCCGAGTTAACGGAGAAGTGGCGCGAGCTGAAGGATGCAGTTGACGATAGAAACAAACATCTACTGCAGAACGAGAAAGCGCAGCAATACTTCTTCGACGCTACCGAGGCCGAATCATGGATGAGCGAACAGGAGCTGTACATGATGGTCGAGGATCGCGGTAAGGACGAGATTTCTGCCCAAAATCTGATGAAGAAGCACGAGTCGCTTGAGCACGCGGTCGAGGATTACGCGGAGACGATTCGTCAGCTAGGCGAGACTGCTAGGCAGCTAATAAACGATCAGCATCCGTTGGCCGATCAGATCGCCGTGAAACAGTCGCAGGTGGACAAGTTGTATGCCGGCCTGAAGGATCTGGCGGGCGAGCGACGCGCCAAACTGGAAGAGGCACTCCAATTGTTCATGCTGAACCGAGAAGTCGACGACCTCGAGCAATGGATCCAGGAGAGAGAATTAGTTGCCGGTAGCCATGAGTTGGGCCAGGATTACGATCACGTGACGCTACTGTGGGAGAGATTCAAGGAGTTCGCGCGCGACACCGCGGCGATCGGTACCGAGCGAGTGAACGCCGTGAATGAAATCGCCGATTCTCTCATCGCCACCGGTCATTCCGATGCAGCGACGATCGCCGAGTGGAAGGACGGTTTGAACGAGGTCTGGCAGGATCTGCTCGAACTGATCGAGACGCGTACGCAGATGCTGGTGGCCAGTCGCGAGTTACACAAATTCTTCCACGACTGCAAGGACGTTCTGGGCAGAATCCTGGAGAAACAAAACGCCATGTCCGACGAATTGGGTCGCGACGCCGGCTCGGTGTCCGCTCTTCAACGTAAGCACGCCAACTTTATTCAGGACCTGTCGACGTTGCAGAATCAGGTGACGCAGATCGAGGAGGAGTCCGCCAAACTGCAGGCGAGCTACGCGGGCGACAAAGCGCGAGAGATCACGAATCGCGAGGCCGAGGTCGTAGCGGCGTGGAACAATTTGCAATCGTTGTGCGAGGGTAGACGAGCCAAGTTGGAGGACACCGGCGATCTCTTCCGATTCTTCAACATGGTCAGGACCCTGATGATCTGGATGGACGACGTTGTGCGCCAGATGAACACGTCTGAGAAACCGCGCGACGTCGCCGGCGTCGAATTGCTGATGAACAACCATCAGAGCTTGAAGGCGGAGATCGATGCCAGGGAGGATAATCTAATGGCGTGCATTAATCTCGGAAAGGATCTATTAGCTAGGAATCATTACGCCAGCGCGCAGATAAAGGAGAAATTAGCGGCGTTGACCGATCACAGGAATGCACTGTTACACCGATGGGAGGAACGTTGGGAGAACTTGCAACTCAGTAAGTTGCACTTGCTGTTCGAATTTTTAATCTTGCGTACTTGTATGATATATTGTATTTAATACTCGCTTTGCTTGTGTTTGCTGCAGTTTTGGAAGTTTATCAGTTTGCCCGAGATGCGGCAGTTGCTGAAGCATGGTTAATCGCTCAAGAGCCGTATCTTATGAGCCAGGAGCTTGGTGTAAGTAGTTACATTGGAGCGCAAATACGAATTTATATAATCGAATCTTGTTTGAAAAATTTACGATTTTCCACAGCATACTATCGACGAAGTTGAGAATTTAATCAAGAAACACGAGGCTTTCGAAAAATCGGCAGCTGCACAAGAAGAAAGGTTTAGTGCCTTGCACCGACTTACTACTGTAAGTAGTTTCACAGGAAATATATGACTGAATAACATTGTAATCGAAAAGCTCGTAAAATACTGAAATACTTTTTATTGTATCATATATCGTTTAAACTCGTACATTTTCTGCGATAAAATGTATATTTCTGTCTCCCTCGTATCATAAGTGTATAGAAATAAAATTTTCGTTTTTTACTGCAGTTCGAATTGAAAGAACTAAAACGACGAGAACAAGAAAGAGAGGAAGAAGAAAGACGCAAGAAGGAGGAAGCGGCAGCGGCGGAGGCTGCACGTTTGGCCAAAGCGACACCCGTTACTAGTCCAGATGAACCATCTAGCGAAAGGTAATGCATAAATATCTTTTCGCAATCTATGCCAACTGCGTTATATATCGTGAATGAATTCATGAATGAATTTTCTTTATTATAGAGCTGAGACTGATGGGGCAACAAGTGGAGAACGCGGAGAGGACGAAGGACACGGTAATATAATTACACATAATGGATATGTTTTGGGTTTTACTAATCGAAACTGTGACTTTTCTCGGTACTTACCGCATCTTCTAATTCTGTCTACGGTTTTGCATTCTGTTTGAAGATGCTGATATAGAATAACCGGTGTATAACACAGGCATATTATTTTAGAATATAATGTCGAGTGCTTTTTCCTAATAGGATTGTATTTTCATGTTTGTATAATTCTTTATTGACTTGGCGTGGTAATGATTGCAATTGGTAGAGTAATATTGTGAACCGAAAGAGAAAAAGCGGAACAAAAGTAACGTTTCATTCCTTCTGTCATGACTAATAATCGCGAATGCATCGAGAAATCTTGCTTTTGACGTAAAATTCAACTTTGACGACTTATAGTATTACGAATACGGTTTGTCTGGATAAGCATGTGTGACATCGCTAACAGCACGTTTATTTTTGCCTTTTCCCCACCTACGCCGAAACTTATTCCGATCCGTATCAAATCCGTCGTCCACGTCATCTCATTTTACCCACTCGAAATGCACCCTAATGCGGCACGGAATGCACGAACTACAGCGGCACATCGCAAGGCTTCTACACGTACACCACAGCCTCAAGACAAGCCCAAGGAAGGTGAGTGTTACGCGATAGGTATGAAACTTGTCAAAGCGTGAGACGTCTCTACATCTGCGTACATCTTTCTAATTCCTCCGCAACTCTTTCGAAACTGTAGTCTCGAGTGAATCATATCCTATGTATAGGTACCCATAATTTCACAAACTGGTGATGGATGGATGATCGGGTCACGTCTTCATAGCAGTACTTAACGATAGCTTTGTTCTTCAGATTTCACGTTAGCGTTAAGTCACATACGTCGCAATAATCTTGTATCTTTCAGCATACTCATAGCCACGTCGCACCTATCGCTCTCGCCCGCATAAAAATCACTATTTGCTTTTATTAACTTTTTCTCTAGCAGGTGATGGCCCGTTATTCTGCCCGAGATGTTCCTTCTGTCGTCTGGCAGCTCGGTTATGTCACGAGAAAGCACGATTTATCACGATTTATCGAACATTTTAGATACTTGATACCGCACATGTGTGAAATCACATATAACAACTTGACACAATGAAATATCGAGCGAAATTCTAATTATAGTCTCAATTTTCGATCATACTAATCTGTTGCCAATTCCATTTCATTCACCTGGTAGGTACACCTTTGTTAACTATACTATACTTCATTCTCGTCTATTGCACAATTACGTTGAAATATAATGCCTTGTTGGAAGGTAAGCACATTCATGAAATCGTCATTCATCACTCTAGATCTATGAAAGCACGAAATTGGGTTCTATCATTCGTATATACGTGTTGCATATAGAATTTACTCGAATATTCGTACGGTCATACTACTGTGAAGAATCAATCATTGAACTTGTAGATTAACGTCGAGTCACGCCTTTACGCTATTAATCACAGCGATCGCGTTGTAATTTGGTATAACCGTGATGAATATATACGCGACGCATTTAACAAACGATGTATCATAAGAGTAATACATAGCATGATTTTGTGATTGGTGTGGTGTAGTGCATGCACAAAGACCTAGACAGCTGTCTTTCCGGGATGGAGATGGGACCTCGCCTGTCACGCCGACATCTGTGAAGGCTCCGCCGCATGGTATCCGCACGCCGACAAGTAAGTGTTCGCAAATACTCAAATATCAAACTGTGTGTGCCGAAAGGTCATTTATTAATATTTCCCGCCACTTAGCTGCCACGATATTACCGTGAGTGATTGCTCAAGATCAATTCAAATCTTGAACAATCGTTCATTTTGACGCAAACCATATGATTAACGAAAAATTATATTCATAGTTGAGGAATCCCAGATATAGAAATGCGATTCACACGCGATCGAGATCAATTCGTGCTGAAATAGTCTGGTTCTTCTCCGAAGGCGTTCTTCGTCGGCAGCGGCCCGTAAGGACATATATTGCCATTTTTATCCACGAAACAACAAGCCTTGACAACTCGTAATACCTCGTCCACCGATCGTGGTAGATCTTCGTCGTTGATCGTCACATGGCGTATGATCTGCTGTCTATCTATAACGAATAGAGCTCTGTACGCGTACCCTTGTTTCTCGTTCAACACACCGTAGTCGCGCGTTATCTGATGACTCTTATCGGAGAGCAGCGGAATCTTCATCTCGCCCAAGCCTCCCTGCTTACGCGGGGTCGTCACCCACGCAAAGTGCGAGAATTTGGAATCCGTTGAGATCGCTACTACCTCCGAGCCTAGTGCAAAATGCGAGAATTGATTAGCACTGATAAAATAGAAGAGGAAACATTGTCATAAGTATAAAAACTCGGGATAAAGAACAACCTAATTTAATATAAAATAATTAAGTCTGTTGTTTTCCAAACGTTTGTTTGACGAATATTTCTTTTTTACAAGTACTCTTCATCGACTTTGTGTTGCTGAAATTTGTAACGTCATTAACATCGATAACGGGAAGAAAAATGTGTAACTTCGTACCAAGAACTCGGAATTCGGCGATGCGGTCGCTAAATTGGATAAGTTCGGTGGGGCAGACGAACGAGAAGTCGCACGGGTAGAAGAGAAGTACCAGATATTTCCCCGCGAAATGCTGCGACGACAGTTCCTGCATCTTTAGATCGATTATCGCGGCAGCCGACCAGGGTGGCGCGGGTCGTGACACCGCTGGTATTAATTGCACCGGCGGTGGGCGCGGCGTCTCTGACCTTTCCGCACAACAAGTATTCATCCCTTATTTTTTTACGCCCGACATGAGCCGATACATATCAGTCCCTCGAGACCAGATATTGCATATTCCATGTTTCTACGTCGCCAATCGTCGCGGATACGTGAAACTTTTTACGATCGACTTTATTTTTCATTCATCGTCAGACTTCACTGTTCAAGACACGAGACGTATCGTCGTAGAAAATAAAAAGTAACTTTTATTACCATTCAGTGGCAAATATTAGCACACGTTGACTTCTCTTTAAAAAAAGCTTTTAAAACCTTTAAATAAATTAATTACTTTAATATTAAATACTTTAATAATAAAAGAAATTTATATAAATATATTTAAATTTATATAAATATTTATATATAATAATTCTAAATATATATATATAATACATTTAGAAATAAAAATATTTATACATGTTACATATATATTTCTAAATTAACGTAGCTATTATAATGCGATAAACGCGAAACGTACTTCCTACTTGTTACATACAGTTTGACGAGCATGCATTGCTCATTTGGCATCTTATGCATGAGCATGTTGCATGTGTGTATTCTCGTATGTTCTCTGTATGTAGTTAGAAAAGCATGGAAAAAAAAATAACGCGTAACACGTGTGGATATGAGGACTATTAGCGGCAAATTGTTTACCTGACACAAATCTCTGCTACAAGCTAGGGTACAACCGTAAGTAAGCTAATGAACGTTATGTGTGTTGCGTACGTTGTAAAGCTCCGAAAGGAAGTGGCTCCGAGGCTTCAAGACGTAAGGAACGGAGCCGCAGCAAGTCACCATTCAGGAGCTTCCGCTGGAGAAAGTCCGCCAAGTCGCCGAGTTTAGATCGCAGTGGCGTGAGTGATGATGAGCACAGTATTCCTGGTAAGTGAATGAGAAAAGAGACTTACACGATCGAGGCAGTAATTATGCAATAATTACACTTACACGTTCGTTCGTTGAACGTCAAATATTCTTTTTTTTTCTACTTTTTTTAATACATTTTTGTTAGTCGCTCGCGCGATTACACTCCAACTTCGCTTTATATACGTATATTTACAGCACAAAATATGAAAGCGGGTGGTCCAGCTTGGCTGAAAATAAATGATGTCACTGCTCGAGGAAATCGGGAATATAATATCTACTAGTGTGGTTTTAACTCGCGGAGTTCTAAATTACTATATCGAAATGTTATTCAGGTGGAATCTGGCATCTAATATCTTTACTAATCGATCATATTTCAATTATGTAGGTTTTTAACAATTATTTCATCATTTGCCGTGTATTCAAGAAGACAGCTGCTATGATTATGTTACATAATGGGAAGACATTCTTGAAACTAAATTATATCCTATCACTTATGTGTTACGCCTAACAAATAAAGGAATGAGTAATCGGGGCTTGTTTTTGTTCCAAGTGTCATAAACATAAATATGCAGTGTATGTTGGCTCGTTGGGAAGCTCAAACGTTAAGCAAATACAGTCTCTAAATTAGAATAATAGGGAACTGGGAAATGTTATAACTGGGCGGTGTATTCCACCGAATGCGTTGTTATGATTAAAATAATATGTTATTGATTATTTGCAGCTTTATCGTCCATCCGAAGCAAGGGACGCAGACTGGCGTTCTTCTCTCGTATAAATAATTCATGATGCATTACTTATTGAAATGTTTTAGCAAATTGCTCCCTATCTAATAGATAGTTAAAACCTGTTACCTTTTCCAGAGCAACGAAGTCCGAGCGACGACGAGTTCGAGGGGCCGTTGCAGCGGAAGCACGAGTGGGAGAGTACGACGAAGAAGGCGTCCAATCGCTCCTGGGACAAGGTGTACATGGTCGTACGCGGGCAGAGCTTATGTGTATATAAAGATCAGAAGTCGTACAAAGCTTCACCCGATCAACCGTACAAAGGAGAGGCTCCTCTTGACTTACGAGGCGCAACTATTACCGTAGCGAGTGATTACACTAAGAAGAAACATGTCTTCCGAGTCAAGTCAGTGTACTCGATGTTATATAATTATGCGCATTCTGCGATGTAGATATCGCCGTAAACTTGTTTTTATCTTTACAGGTCGCAAAGCGGATCCGACTTCCTGTTCCAGGCCAAAGACGATACCGAAATGAATGATTGGGTGTCTGCGTTAAATCAAGCGGCACAGGGAACATCAGGTGCAAGCACATCCAGGGCTCACACCTTGCCAGCCCCGACACAAGCCGAAACTAAGCGGCGTAGTTTCTTCACTCTCAAGAAAAAGTAAGTGTTGATTGGGAAATTTTGCTATTGCAATATCGTACACAAGAATTTTAAGATAATATGGACATTTGACTGAGCGCAAGTTTCAAGCAAAACCGAATAAATTGTGTAAAAAAAATTTTACAAATAAACTATTCTGTTGACAAATAAAATATTCTCTCTTACGTCGTAATAAAATTCTAAATCTACAATTTTACAATATCTGACAATGTTGCGAATATTTATATCACGAATTGTATGAATTATTAAGTTTTGCAGCGTTTCAAGTCAAGACGTGTATTCTTGTATATAAGGTGCCTGTGTTACTTTGTTATTATCTTGCTTCATCCTTTCGAACACGTCCCGATGAAATTGACAGAGAATATTCTGTTAGCAATAAAAAAAAAAAAATACGCGTTTATCATCTTCCATCACTTTTTTTTTACTTCCCTTTTAACAACACTCCTCGTATTCCATATTACGACACTAATTTTTCTTCTTTCGAAATGATCTTTCTTGATTTTCTCTTCAGCTCTCTTCAGTTTGAAATATCGTAGAAAACATTATTCATCGTCATTGTCATTCACGAGTGACGGACGATCGTCTCGTAAAGCATAAGCCAATGAATCGAAAAAGATACGCGCCCTCACTCCAACATCTTACGAAATCCATTCGTCGTTTCCTATTCGCATTCGATCATATTGCATTTATCATATTTTAGAAAAGCCAAAAAGTAGAAAGCGATACCAATGAACGTATGAAACAGTACACAATTGGAACAACATTTAGAAATGCGGTGAGTCGCACACACAATCCTCTAGATCATTCTGCCGTCGTACACTATTGCACGATTATTAATCGATCATCATTCCAATTGTTTTTCTTTTTTTATTTGGTCTTTCGTTATGATTAGCTTCTGGGAAAATACAACAGGAATGTTCTTCCAATTGTGAATGCGGAATGATTACGTAAAAATCTCTGAAACGAGAGGGTTTGGATGTGTGTAGAGCTTTCTGTGTTTCGCCAAACAAATATTTAACCGATAAATCTCACGAGAAAAATGCTTGAGCGATACGCCACAGGAATAATATAGTTGGAGAGATTCCACATCGATGTAAATTTCTGCAGAGAATCTACTACTGTCTTTAACAATAAGATTCTCGTGCAGTAACGACGGATATGTGAAACGCAATTATTCTCTACATCACATTGTTCGACGTAAATAGGTGCTTTTTAATACGCATATACATAGCTATCCGCTTTCATTTTGAATACTTTTTTTATTTCGCATAAGATAGTGTGTTACGTAGATAATCAGATTATTGTGTATCATTGTCAAATTCTATATTGTAGCTATGTTCAATCACCCGCTTCTGACATCGTCATTTATTCTTCATTGCTTTTTCTGCTATCAGAATATTCCCAGGAACTTTTATCGTAGAGGTAACCGATCGTCCGCGCGTCTACTTTCAGACGCGTGCGAGACACATATTACACAATATGTGGCTCCTTAAAGACGGAATATACTTGCTATTTTTACATATTAGTTATAAATAATGTATAATTATTTACGATGCGTTGAAATTCTTATATGGTAGCATCTTTTTTGTGTAACATATGTATTTCATAAATAATAATAGTGTATAAATGCATAAGTTGCAATAATTGAAAGTAGAACAAGTATAACGAACTTCCTTTCGAGGGTTCGAGCGATGATTTATTGCTAATTATTGTGATTATCTTAATTTAAATTTTGCTAATATAAAATTTTATTTAACGCAACTCATTAAATACCTTGAGAAATCGTAAAATGCATTTTAATGATTTACAAGGATTTTGATTTTCTACATAGTATATCCTTTCTCTTGTAACCTCGCCTTCGTACATAATATAATTACTAAATTGTAAGACAAAAGCAGTAATTGGAAGTGACAATTATTGGTTGTCCTGATGAAATAATTATCACCTTTTACGTTTACTAATTTTCAGCTAAACTGGAGCAGTGAAGTACGGTGTAAGCCGCTCGTAATGCGTCTGCACAACATCATGTTTATGAAAAATGTTTCGTCGCTCTACATGGTTAAAGCAACGCTAATATAAAATTAGAAGACATGGCCACACGGTGTTATGAAATGAATTGAAGGACGGATTGAACGGGTCTTTGAAAACGCCTACTTTCGAAGAACGGAGATATTTAAACGGTTATATGTTGATATTTACAAGTGTAGGCTATTGAAAGTCTAATTAAATTTAGTTCTTCAATGAATTTTGGACACTTTGCAATATTTGCTAGTTGAAGAACGAGCGACATTTTCGATGTCCCACGTTAGCGTGATCAGACTTTTGACACGGGATTTAATTCTATTACATTTTACGTATGTATTATCACGCATTAAGATGCACGATCATTTCCTTGTCAATGAAACGAATGACGTCTTCTTCGTGGTACAAAGTATTTTATAAGTTGCTGCGATGTTTTTATACTTCAGCAATGTTTTTTTTTTTTAAGAACGTTATACGGTAGAAGACGATCTTGTTGAGTCCGCAAAGAAGGTTTGGAGGAGATATATCTTAGTCACGACTTACGATGATTTTTATAATTATTCTTCACGATGAGTTCAGAATTTTAACGTTTTTTTCAATGCATTTTATTGCATTTCACGCGAGTTCTCGTGTTACAGAGCAGATATAGTCTCCGACAATACTGAATGAAGGGCGAGAACGATTCCAGCCGTGTTGATCGCTTAGGATATATCGCTTTCATTATCATATTATCGCACCGCAGTATTTTACTTGACTTCTTTTCCTGCAAACGTGTCTGTTTGCGTTCGGATGACTGCCATATATTTTAAGAGCCACACTAACTTGGGACATAATATTATATAAATTAGCTTTTAACAAATTGTTAAATATGCAGCGCCCTAAGGGAATACCGCATTGAAGAATTATAAAGAAAATGTAATAACTAACAAGAGAGAGAGAGAGAGAGAATTTTCCCACCTCCCATCCCCCTGTCCCCTTTACACGCTCCCCATATATCACATAATTCTGCAGAATTGCAAGAGTATTT